TACTGACTGTAAAATGTTTGTATCTTTCTTTAAGCAAAGAATCCATGCACCACCCACCACCATCACCCAAAATATTGCAGGGTATCCTGCCCATCCTGATTTGGCTTTATTGAAAAAGCCAAATCTTGACGAATCACTGCCACAAAATTACAGACCCATTTCAAAGCCTCTCTTCATATCCAAAATCGTCAAAAAGCTGGTTCTGACCCAACTGCTAGATATGTGTGAGAATAATAACATTTTTGACCAATTCCAGTCAGGATTCTGCAAACACAGGCTGGAAACGGCTCTCGTCAAAATTACTGTAGATTTATTAATGTCTGCCGATGCTGGTGAATACGGTGGTATTACTGCTCCTCGACCTCAGTGCCTCATTTGACACCATTGATCACAACAGTGATAGACTAACGCAATACGTCGGCATATCTGGAACTGCCCTTAGTTGGTTCAAGTCATGTCATGTCATGTCATGTCTCATGTCATGTCTCAGATAGACAAATCTCCGTTTCCATAGGAAATAACATCTCATCCCTGGCTCTACTGATGTGCGGAGTGCCACAAGGTTCAATTCTTGGTGACATCCTATTTTCGCTGTACATGCTCCCATTAGTAAACGTCATCAGCCACTTTAATGGGATATCATATCATTCCTATGCTGATGACACCCAAATATACTTGTCCTTCAAGCCGGACAATGTCAGCTGCGTGAGTGTCCAAACAGAGCGCCTATCCGCAGACCCCTATCATTTATTGGTCCCCTGGCAGCCAATATTAAAACAACAGCTAAAAATGTAAACTTCAAAACACATGTTAATCAAATCATTAAATCTTGCTACTTCCATCTGCAAAACATATCTAAAATCAAATCGGTTCTATCTCTCTCTGACTTTGAAAAGCTGATTAATGCCTTTGTTTTCTCCCACCTGGATTATTGCAACGCCCTGTATACATGCCTCAGTTAAACCGTAGTAACTTGTTTGCAGCTTGTTCGGAACACTGCTGCTTTTATTTAAACAAAAACAAACCATAGGGCTCATATCACGCCAATTCTAGCATCCCTTCATTGGTTACTTTTAGGATTTGGCTCTTAAATTGGATTGAACACAATACCTTTTATCACAATCCATTCTTCATTATGCCATGGACTTTTGTGTGAAGCACTTTGTAACCTTGTTTAGATAAGTGCTATGCACATTGAATATGATGTTGTGTTTACTGCATCAGTGCACATCATTTACAATTTATGCAAGCTATAGGCCTCTTAATCCAATGCTTACGATGAACAACACAGAGGTTGCACCTTTTGCAAATTGATAAAGACGGATTACTGTTTTTTAGAAATACTTATTGCACATGTAATATCTACCAGCTGTCATCAGATGTTTTCCTTTTGTATAGTGCAGTCGATAAAAATAGAGCTCTGGGTCCTTGTATAAGACCTGTGTTGACGAAGAAAGGTTGTATCAATAATGTTAGACCCAATGAGGTCGGAAAGATCGATCCCCAGTCTTCCCCATCTGCATGCTGACAAGATGCTGAACCCGGAATTGCCCCTCATAGAAAGAAAGTGCTGCTAATAGATGCACTGTATGACTGTGTGTGTGAATGGGTGAAGGGTACTGTCACGCGCTTTGAGTGGTCACCAACACAATAATACAAACCATTTGCCTCTGCCGTGAGAGAGCGATGATGAAGATCAAGTGGATCCAGTTTCATTAAGCGTGACTTAGCTGCTCTTACCTGTTTACTGTCGCTCACCCGGAGGAATCAAGCGCCAAACACAGATCCACGGACATCGATTTCCTCAGGACGTTCAGGCGGCGTGGAGCTCTGTCACCGCCGGTCACAGCATGTGGAGCGGACTGGTCCACTGCCAGCAGACCAAAGTTACATAAGGTGCGCTTGTTTTACTGCACGGGTAGTACCGGCGGACTGGAGGCAGAGGGGAGGAGGTCCTTTGTTCGTATTTCACGTGATTTCTATCAACATGTTCCATTTATGAACTCAGCAATGAACAGGTCTCACCCACGATAGACACCCAGTAGCTCTGTTACTTAATTTCATTCAGGGTCTGATTGGTTTTATTTTGCAGGAAACAAGAGGAAAAATTTAATGTGTCAGAAACAAGGAGTGTTTCATACATTTACAATCTTTAGTTTTTGCAGTTTAGAAGAATTCATTGTCGACAAATGCTTCACGAAAGTGCATGTATCTACAATGACTGTGTGGATTCACGACTGCATTGGTCCTGTATAAACAAAACCTAATCCCCTAATCTGAACCTCCACCTGAATCTCCTGCTGGGTTTTTATTATAAAGCTGTTATGGGAGATTAAGGGGAAAACCTGTAGCACTGTCAAAATGATTAGGTCATAAATACAGATCAATATTAAAAACTGATACTGATGTGTTTGTATTTGTAGCAGTAAAACTGTTAAATCTTCACAATGGGATTTAAATGAAGAGAAAAAGATGATAACAGACACACATTTTACACATTTTCCAATAATAATAATGCTTCTAAAAGTAGGTGACATCATGACAGGGTGAACAGAGCTCCAGGATTTATGAATGAGTCCTTTAACGTTTTCCCAGGAGATAAACACATAGTGTCTCCAGTTCAGTGCTGCAGACACACCCACTGAATCCTCAGGGCTGTAATACACAGATAAGATGAAAAACTGCCCCTCCTGTTTTTCTTAACTATTCTGTTGAACTCTTAAAAATAGGTGTTCAATTATGACACACTTGGTCTACAGACCTACAGAATCCAGCATAGCAGGGAGAAAGATTACAGCTACAATATAGTAATGTATAGATATAGTGTAATATATATATTAATGAGGTGACTTAACTCCTGATCGCCAATACCACCAATGCTATTAGGGGGGTGGGTGTGGGTCAGTAGGCAGAGAGGGTCTGTGGTTTGAACCCTGGCTTCTCCAGTCTGCGTTCTGAACTGTCAGTGAAGCAATGGTGTGTGAATGTGATGTGTACTGTAAAGAGCTTTTAGTTTTCACTTAAAGCTCTTTACGCACATTTAGTTGTGTCCTTCAGGCCTTTTGACAAAGAATGAATCAAAGAGACAATGTGACAAGAGCTGAATGAAACAATGATACATAAATAGATCGTGGTAGAATTTCCAATAGACTTGTCTTCAATTACTATCACAAGGGTCTTCAGTTTTGCACTCAGTCAGTCCGTCATTTTAAGTGAGTGCTCATTGTGCTGTATGGTATCATTGCATTAACCACCGGCGCATCAACAAAAGAATATAATTGCCAAGAATGGTCACGATAAACACTCAGACACCGTAACCAAGCAGCGCAATGTTCTTGTGACCTCAGCAGCTAATATTATGAAGATGTTTAACAGTCAACCTCCCTGAGTCACGTAGAGCCCACATTTGAAAGAAAGGTCAGATTGCAGTTTGCTAGAATTGAAAATTATTATGACAATGTTCAGTGCCTTGAGATAATGCATGATGGGATCTGGCACCATACAGATACAATTTAATGCAACTCATTTGAACCAAATGTTGATCAAAATGGGATAAAGTTTCTGGAGCCTGGAACAGTTATAAGTGACCTTCACAAGGAATACCAGAAAGCTGCTTTTAAAAGTGGAGCACGTGTTGTGAGTGAGGCATATTCTCTGTGTTTGTTCCAAAAAAAGACCAGTGTGATGTATGTATCGGCACCAAAGTGGGAAATATAGATCAGGATACCCTTACAACTCACATGAAATTAAAGGCTCAAGCTCAAGCTGAAAAAGCTAAGGATAAACAGGAATCTAGTGACAAACTCTCAGTGTGGACAATGGACCTTCAGTGTGTTCTTCTGTGCCCCAAGACAAAAGCAATCACAATGTATTATAAAACTAAATTACAGATGCACAACTTTACTTGCTTCATCCTGGGTAACAAAGATGAGTATTGTTACGCCTGGGAGGAGCATGAGGGCTCATTCAGCAGTGAAGTTTTCGCCGATCTGCAGTACAAACACTTTGAGTCGGTCCTAGGGGCCAACCAAAGCATTGAAAAAATCATAGTCTGGAGTGATGGTTGCGGCTATCAAAATCGGTGTTGTACAATCGCAAATGCATAGATCTGGCCAAGAAGCATGGAATTAATATAGAACAAAAGTTTCTGGTTGCAGGGCACACACAAATGGAGTGTGACTCCATGCATAGCATCATTTAATGGCGTACCATCAAAGATATTCACACTCCATGTGATTACATTGTCATCTTTGAGACCGCACGTTTGCATCCATCCCCATACAAGGTCACCCAGCTATACCACAAGGACTTCATGAAGTTATCTGGGGCCTATGTCAACAGCATTCGACCAGGTATGAAAGTTGGCGACCCCACAGTCCACGACCTTCAGGCTCTCCAGTACTTGGCAGATGGTCAAATCCGATACAAGTTGGATTTTGAGTGTGACTGGAAGGACCTGCCTCAGCGACAAGTCACTTTTATTTGTAATGAAATTGATGTTGTGACTTATTTTATTTGCAAACTTGTTCACACATGTGGTTGAAGTTAATGTTTTAAAATCAATTAAAAATACCAATGTGCTTGCTAAAAAATTAGTTTTTTCTTGTTTTCCAAAAACATTCAAATATGACATAGGCAACTATGCTATTAGGCTAACGATTGGCTTCCTGTGAAATTCAGAATTGAATTCAAGATCCTCAAACACAAAGCCCTTTATATCCGAGCCCAATTGTATCTTTAAGACCTTATAGATCACTTCTCTATTGAAATGCAGGCTTACTTGTGGTTCCTAGAGTTTCTAAGAGGAGAGTATTATATTATAACTGTTATTACAGTAATCATAACAACCAGTACACAATGGCTCCTGGACTCTTCTCTCAATCCAACAGTTCTTGCCTCATGTGTATATTTACTTTATATTTCCTGTCTCTAATTATGATTTGTTACAAGACTACACACACCGCCCGGCCGAGCACAAGTTGCAGACGCCAGAGGATGAATGGAGCGAACCCACACCCAATTGGCGACACAATGTGTGACGTTTACGGAAGTAAACAAAGCAGCGTCATCCAACCGGTTTAGCACAAGGTGAGAGGTTTGTCTGCTTTTGCTGTTCTGTTGGTGCAGAGTGTATACCTGGGTGTGGAATGGGATTGAATGGGTTTTATAATCAATGTATTTCATGAAATAAAACTTATTTCTCTATTACTGTTCATGTGTCTGTTAAGGAGTCATGGAGCATGTGTCCACATCGCATCTAACTCGGCACTGCACTTTCCTTGACAATATCTATACATAGATTAGAAAACAAACACACTCAATTATTATTGAATAAAGCTTCTGTCACAGGAAACCAGCTCAAATCTGTTAATAAGCACCTACACAATTAAGTATATGGTGAAATGTCTCAGAGGCATCACACCGTCTGGGTTAATGTGGAGTAACCATAGACTGTATATAAAGAGGGAGTAACACAGTGATCTTCTCAGAACATCTGTAGATTCAGATACTTCCACATACAATGAAACAGCATAGCTTTTAGTAGATTTTATAGGTGTGAGGAATATTTAAATTGAAATGGTGTCATTCAATGTGTCATGTAAGTGCTGTGCAGCCATTTGTACTGAATCACTTTGCATCTGGTTTAAATAGTCTAGGTCTATTATAACTCCACCATATATGTTTATCAGACTGACCTCTGCCTGTAGATAGTTTAACCATGGGCTGTTAAAATGTATAGTTAGAGTCTCAGAATAAATGTAATACAGTCATGTATAAAGACAACAACAACAATAATAATAATAGAGTAATAATATTCTTTATTAATGAGCCACATTTGAAAATTCAGATTATAAATGGCGTCACAAGGTAGCTAATAAAAATCATAAACTCATTAGATTAAAAAGAGAATAGATATAGAAGTTAACAGACAGTTAAAATAATAAAATCCGGAAAGGCTTTCTGATCAAACTATGTTTTAAGAAAGGACTGAGTCAGTCGATCTGATTATTGCAGGCCGATCATTCTGTATACTCGGGTACTAAAAGGTCAGATGGAGATGAAAAAAAAAAGATAATTTCCAAGACATTCTGGAAACCAGTGTAAAGGGGCTATAACAGGAAGGATGTGATCATGTCTCTTGGTTCTTATTAAAAACCTGGCAGCAGAGCGTTGCGTATTTTTGGGTCAGCAAATCGATTTTTGAATGAAGCAGATAAGAAGACTGTTAAAATAGTCATTACATGATGGGATCTCGGCATGTAGGATGGTCTCCAAGTCCTCAAAGGTTAAAGTAGAACATTATAGAATATTTTGAAAAATATTTTCTAAGTTGGTTCAAGTATGATTGAACAAGCTTTGTTGTGTGCAACTCAATACTTACATTAGTGTCAAACCAGATGCCATCATTTTCTGGGGACAAGTCAACTAGACATGGAGTTAAGATTGGGCTGAAATTCTTGGTTTAGTTTTCAGGGGGTGATTGATTTAATAAATATAATATGCACTGATGGCATTAAAAAATAGCATATATTGATTTGATGCTGGTCTCCTTAAACCTCAAAACTTAGTTGTTCTTCTTTTTTCCCAAGAAATATTATTAAATCTACATTTTCTTCCTTTCCTCAACCTCCTAACATCAGCAGCAATAGAAATTTCCACACCAGATCACGTCAAGAAGAGCTATATCTTCAATATATGATGCTTTGGAATGTGTTCATACAGCCTCAGTTTTTATCACTTGCATTTATCTTAAACTTTGTCAGATGTATGCTGATAAAGACACAATATGTTCTCCATGCAGTTTTATCCACCTGATGTCCGGTTGTTTTTAGACATTAGCATAAACTTGTCTCTTCTGATACATTTTTGCCTCACATTTCTGTCGCTGATCTTCCCAAATCATCTTAAAATCTCCCACAGTCTTTGAAAGAATGCCATTTGAAAACCTTTGTTTCATGCCACAGTCTTCTCCAGGTGATAATAAAGTTTAAGCTCTTGTTGAGATGTGATTGTTTTTAATGCTCTCACAGGACAGAAAGCAAAGATGAGGGTTTCTACTAGTCATCTGCAGCAGCTTGCCATTTTCACCACTGTGCTGACCGGTGGAGGGGTTGGCACCATGTACTATCTACTTCAGAGTGAGTACAAATAAGCGTGTGCATGTGTGTTCATAAATGATTCTGTACATTTATGCTGTACCCCTCCTGCTTTGTTCTCTTACGATTCATATGACACCATAAGCATTCTTCACTCTTCATAGACTATGGTAATATATGTGCCACATGTGTTTGGTGTGGTGCTCTGAAAGAGCACTTTAAAGGCTTTTTAAATAATTAATTCAGAATGGTTATAAATCAAAATTCGAATCAAATTCAAATACCCCAGAAAACCAAATTATCTAATTACCACCCAACATTACTCCAATGGACAACATTGGAGTTACTTCTAGTAATCAGTTCCTACACTGTGGACAAATGCGAAGGAACTGACCACTCTGTGTATATTAAATGCCAGTCCACCCTGCTGTTTCCACTGCACCCAAGCAGCCACAACCTACCTTACAGCTTTAGTGACCCAAGCTGGGAGTTTGCTACATCTAAATGACTTTTTGTCGTAGCTGCACCCCCAGTTGTTTCCAGAAAATTATATGCAACATATTTACAGGCATTCTTGGAGTTGTTATTTACTTGGATGACATGGAATTACATAAATAATACTAGAGTAATTCCATGTCAAATCATCAATTTTAGGCCGCACCATCATAACTATTAATCATATTTGGCATGCTGATTTGGTCATATGGAAAACCCGTGATTAAGGGAGATATGGGCTTGCTACTTTTGGAATTTTTGACTATGTGACTTTAACTGGCCATATATCTTTTAATATAGGTCAAAGCTCCAAATGTGTCATCAAGACCTCCAGACATTTTTGAGTGCTGAAATATCATTACTTATCCAAAGAGCCATCACATTACTAATTCCTTTCAATGTTTTTGAACAGCAGTCGGAATGATCAGCCATATGCAAAATATCAGTGCTCTACTACGCTGGTGGGCTCCCAGGACACTACTGGATAGTGTACTCAAAGAAACACAGCATAGGTGGAATCAATAATTATCTGAGGTCTGTTTTGTCAGCTGGCAGACCAACAGAAGATGTTTTTAAGACTTGTCTGGACAAAGTCAAACACTTGGCGCTGGAATCTCGTAGTTCATTACCACCTCAACATTCATGTAAATGTAGTTTTGCAATAGATTGAATTAACATTTTGCTTAAAAACTGTTATTCCATCCACAGACATTTTATTTTATATCATAGACATTTTATTACGATCTCAAGAAATTGACAAATTGTGGAAAAAGGGCATGTAACTGTCTGAGAGACCATCTTTATTTAGATTTCATTGAAATGTTTATTTTATATTTTCTGTCATAATTTCAGCAATGTTGGAAGTCATACAGTTGTAAAAAATTGATTAAAAAGTAAAAAATAAGATGTGGCGTTTAACAGCTCACGTGACCAGAGTTGCATTATGGGCACACCTGTTGCATTGTGGGTCAGAAGCAGAGGAAAGATCCGGCACGGCTTCGGAGTAGAGAGCCAACGTGGCTGCAGAAGCCATAAAATACTTAGATTCTGCACGGTCCAAGAGGCACACACGTTTTCACAGTGTTTGATGAAGAGAGAGAGAAAATAAAAACCTCAAAAGACCTCTGTATAATGCATGGCCATTATTATTGGACCGGTGCGGTTACAGGGCATAATATCTATTCTTTAATGTCCTTACCAGTCACCACTCTACATGTATAGGTAGGGACAAATGCATACTTTTACTAGCCTGCTCAATTTCTTGGTACCTACTTGCTACCAAGTTACTAGATGGTCCAACCTATTTCACTCTCATGTTGGCCATGCTGCACTTCTGAAGCCAATCAGCTGCCGAACCCAAATTGCCTGGCTCCTTGTGATGACAGGCTACAACCTGGACTTCCTCCTTTTAGACTCCACAATCAATTCAATTCAATTCAATTTTATTTGTATAGCGCCCTGTCCAATTGCATGAGTTTTAAGAAACGGACACAATCACCACATGGATTTCTCCCTGCTCAGCTGTCAAAGAGCTTACCAGTTTACCACTGCTCTCATTTTGGCAAGTCCCACAATTTCGACCTGAGATGCTACACAGTTTGGGTATTTAGCATGGCTCTAAATGACCCACTGTATTCTCCTCTTAATCTCTCATTGCAACCAAACAGAAGTATTCTGGAGAGGGTGGCAATGTCAAACGAGCAGTACTTGGACAGGCAACACTTTACACAGCAGAAAATGTCACAGCACAACCTGCAGTTCACACCAACCTTCTTCCCCTCTGCAAGCAACAATAGACTCTCCAGCACACCTTATGATGGGTTGTGGACTACAGTTCATTGGGTGCATGTGAGACTTTTTCATAATAAGCATGATTGGTTGTCTCCAGGTTTTCACAGGTAAGGTTTTCCAAGTCATGCTGCTGGTAGATTTGACTTGTGGGTGTGAGGTACCACCCTAATATTTAGAGCTTCCTTTCACAATGAATAACAACACGTCAACATACAGGCTAACTCTTCAACTGCTCTCATTGTGTACTTCTCATCTGATAATTTCACTGGTTTCATATGGCATTCTTGAGAATAAGAAATACTTTTACCTTTACTAATTATTATTGTTATTGTGATTATTCTTTTTTTAATTATTGTTATTATTATTTAACACTTTCTATTTGTAATTTTATTTCTTCTTTTCAAATAGAGAAGTTCACTGGGTCAGACTGGCACAGACTGGCTATGCAGAAGTTGGAAGCATGTCCTACTGCCCTGGAAAGCCTAGGTGTCCCACCTTTAAAAGTCTACAACATCCATCTGACTGACAGACACAACCGTGTAGATCAGGACACTGCACAGGTACTGTGTGCAACTCTCCAAAAGATCTATGTTGGATTGATACTGCCTCTCAAGTGTCATGATTTATGGGCTATATATTGTAGCTGCATTGACTCTACCTGTACATGTGGATGAGAGTGGCCTGACACCTTTCTAGCCCAGGTTTTACACCCTGATAGGACAAGCTAACCCTAACTGAGCAATAAAACAAGGGATAAAAGAGGAAAGAAGAGAAAGGCAATAGTTTTAAGCTTTCTTCCATATATATCATATGACACTGATCTTGATGTTGAATTTGTATTGTGTTACAGATAAAGATCCATGTATCTGGGTCAAAAACTGGAGGTTGTCTTTATACGTCTTCCATTAGAGACTCTAATACCAACAGGTTAGTACACTGTCCTGTTCTGTGTTCACTGGAAATGATTGTGACTCTTTTGTGTTATTGTTATATGCTGAATATACAAAGGATTATGGCAGCATATTCTTAGAAATAAACTGTGATGAGAACTTCTGGTGTGAAGCTGAAGCCAGCAGTAGCATGATTGAGGCGGCTCTTAGAGAGTCTTTTATCCCCTCTAAATAAGTACTCTGTACTCACTTGTAAATGAAGGAACAAAAGACAGACCCAAGACAATCCGCACAAAGAAATTAAGGCAAACTGATTACAAGTAAAGACACTGACTATGTCACATGAAACCAAACTAAATATGAGGCTAGGAAGCTCTCCAAGGTGACATCATTGTTGATATATTGCAATGGCAGGTCTGCTCTGGCTAGAAGCAAAATTTGATTGTTTCTTATTTAAAAGAAATATGGACAGGATGTGAGGAGACGGAGCAGAGTGGCTGACATGGAGGAGTGGAGTGATGAAACTTATGAGGTTGCTAACAATCTTGGAGGCGCATCTATGTAAACTTCTTTACATCTGTATTTGTGGAGGTACGTAGAAAAGGCCTTTGACTCATTCTTAGTTAAGAATAGTTATTTTGGTTCTTAATAATATCTTGGTAATTCTTATTAATTAGCAACTGCAAAATAGATTGTTTGTATTTTGTTGAGAGGATTGATGGCTAAAAACTAGATCTGTTTCTAATCAAAAGTCACAATAATTTGATGAAACTGTCTCCAAACAGATGAAGTAGAAAATAAAATTGTTGGTGCAAATAAGTCTGCAGTGATAGATATATAAAGAATGTGATTCTTTCAATATCTGTCTTCCTGAAAAAAATCTTCAGTTCATTAAATCCCTGCAGCGTCTGAGAGCAGCAAGATACATATACGTATGTTCATTGGATGTGAATTGAGTGCCACTGTACACTTCTGCAAGGACCCTGGCATTTCTGTCTCCTTCCCAACCGTTCATCAAAATTGATGTTTTATGTTTTTGATATAGGGTGAATTTGGGTAATCTGGCACATTGGGTAATGCGGGACAACTAATCTTCAGTCTGTTTATTTTTATTTTATTTATAATAAAATCTAGTCAACAGAAATATGCATTAAGTGATGTAGTAAAAAGAAAGTTAAACTAAAGAGATGTACCATATAATCTGCAGTTGTAAAACAGGAGTTAAGGGTAAATGTGGTCTGTCCCTGTCTGTTTAAACTGATTGTCTGGCTAGTTAACTAGGGCATAATCAGTTTGCTCTCTAGAACAGAGATGATCCAAAAAGCACAGTAGAAGTCCTGTGGTCTGCAGCCACTGGTTTCACCAAACATGGAGACGACAATGGGGTGATTGATGATGATGGTCTCTCACCTGCAAGGACTGTTTGTTCCCTGAGCATCCACAATAGATTGGTGAATTACCAAATAAATAACCTGTTACTGTTATTTTTGCTTGTGATTTGTTGATTGAATTTTAATTGATTAAAGAAATGTGATACACCCTTAATAGAATGCTTTAAATTAATTGTATAGTTTCTTTATTTAGGCCAGTGTTGAAGACTCGGCATGAATAAAGTAAGGTGCTTTAGGCTTTTTTTAAGCATAATACAAGTGTTCTGGATTACCAAGTGGTAGTGGTGTTTATTTTTTGACACAAATAAAACTAATAGCTGTGTTATGTCTCCTCTGAGTTTTATATCTCCATTCTTTCTTCTGGTGTGGTAAGAAAACACATTAAGTATATTAAGTACAACAGAAAGGTATCATATGTTGATCTAATTTTAAAACAGACATAGAAGTCAAAACTGCAAAAAATGTCCCAAATTACCTGAATTCACCCCATCATGATGCAAACACTGCTGGATTACATCGGTTATGAAATAATGACACCAAGTAGCTCTGGTGTTTCAGAGCTGGAAGACCTCTTGGACAACCATTGATGACATTGCTCAGGGTGCTTTTCTCGAGTTATGTTACAAGTTGTGTTGTATTGTTTAAACCACCTTACTTTATTATGATTTTAAGAGAGACACTTGAATATGACACCAAGGTTTCTAGGGGAATTATTGAGCATTTTGCAATTAAATAATGGTAATTTATAATGAAACACTGGCAGTTTTAGGCAAATAAGGCTGTGTTTTCATGTAACGGTAGGGAACTGAATTAAGCATTTCGTACCGGAATTCACACATCAGAGCCACCCTGCCAGGTACACCTCCATATCCAATACATTTCAGTGCTGAACGAAACACTGGTATTTGTGCTCCCTGCAGGTGGAGTCTGGAGCAGGCAGTGCTGAGTCTCCGAGAAGGACAGACCATCAACCTGCTCAGTCAAACGCAGGCAACAGAGCACACACAGGAACTAGACACAGGTCACTTGAGCTTTACGACTCAATGTACCAATGAGAAAAATCAGAGTTGAAGTTGTTCTACTCCAGAAGGTGCTGAATAGAGATCTAACTATCCACTATCAGCTCCACTATCATTTGTGAAGAGTTAATTTGGATGCACAGCTCAGTGAGTGTAATTGTGATTATTGTGACTGCTCTGCTTGTTGTGTTGAGTGTCTGTGTTTTGTTTTGAATAAATACTGTAACACAAACATACAGTTGCACTTACTGCTGTGCTGCACAGTAAAGTTTTTTTTTCTATTTGAATAACTCGTAACTTTGTCTACAGTAACTGGTTGTTTTGTCAATTACATATGTACACAGTTTAACCAACTCAGAGGCTTGGAAGCTAACTGAGTATCACTGATATACTGCTCCAAAGACTGCTTTTCTTCCTTTACCTTTGAGATTATATATCGAGCAGGTTCTGTACCCATGCAGATAAGAATGTTGTCCATCTAATCTGATTTAGCTGTTCAGTATGAATATTCAAAACAAATTGTTTTATTTCATACAGACTATCAAGCACCACTATACAGAGGTGCCACAGATTAAGGGTGACAGCGAAATGCACATAAAAGTTATCCCTCTGAGCGAATCGGTAATGTGCAATACCATTTTTGTTGAAAGAAGACTATTAGGATGACCCTTAACGGCTGGGTGATGCAGAAAAAAATGGGCAAGGACACTCAAGTTTATCCATAAACGTGAGGTTTTATTCCTTACAGCAAGGACAAAATGACAGGCTTCAAAATAGATGATCCAAGCTGCCCACATAATGGACAACTGGCGCCTTAAATACTGTGTCATTGGTTAACATAATTGGAATATTCCATTAAAAGGTGTTCATTTACTCCCAGACCCCTGCTAACGCACTTGACACAATATTATACATTTATGCAAACAGGTACTAGTAACGAAGTTCCCTTTGTTACAAAGACACAAAATTATGAGATCATATCAAGTTCCTGTGAGCTGTAAACCTACCACCTCCAAGAAAAAGGCAGCTCGCTCCATCTCACTCACACCAGGTGTGAATGGGAGAGTGCTGAAATGATTTTATCCTCAGTGTGAACATGAGGAGCAGTTGCTCTGCAGCTACTTCTTTACATTTCATTTAGCTGACGCTTTTAACCAACACGACTGACAAAAAGTGCATTCAACAAGAATCAAGTAAGTAACTTGTGGTGCCATTTCGGTCGCTTCACACTGACCTGAATGCTGGACTTGTGGAATCTCATCTGAAGCGTTTCTGCCAAGTGATTGCACTTGCAGCCGTACTGTAATATTTGATCACCATGTAATCATTGTTATTAACCCTTTTTTTCCTGAAAAGCACATTTAGAATTGTAAGGAAACAATGTTGTGTTTTCACACATAATTTATGGTCCTGTTAACTATGAAGTCAACTATGTTTATAACCAATAAAAATGAGCGTTTGTCTGAATGGCTGATGACTGGCAAGCAACATCACATGACTTCAACACATGCTACACCACAGTTTTGGACTACAGCAGATACTGTTGTCTTTCTCACTTCTGACTAAGCTGCAGCTGCAGCGAACACTCCAGAGTCCCTTCGCTCTTCTCTGTGTGACTTCTCATCATTCTCCTGCACACCTACAAAAGCTCCTTCGGTGAGTTCAGTCATATTGATATTGATATTAAGATATATAGATATTGATATTGAGATATATATTGATAGATATATTCATATATCATATTTTATTGTTCGTATTGAATGCTGTGAATTTTACAGATCATTTTTCCAAATGCATACCCTTATCACCAAATGATAGTATAAAGCACCAAATACACATATTATCAGCAATTTAATGTAAAGTGGAGAAACTACATGACAGTTAAGTAAGTATAAGTAAATTGGGTCATGTTACAGCTGTGGGTAATGTCAGTTTATGCATATTTATCTAGTTATTCTCAAATGTTATTTTTGAAAAGATGGAGTCCCGATTGGTTGCATGTTTCATAATGATAAATCACATGTTTAAAACATTTGATGGTTTTTCATAAAGAAAAAACATGTCTGAATGGAGTTAAAGTCACACATTTAAAAACATAATAAATACTGATGATGATGAAGGAAACAAACCTCTGCACTGCTTTTATGAGCTTTCACTGTGAGAAATGTCCGTCTTCTGTGCAACCTATCAGACCATTGATCTGTGATAGGTATCACAAAAACTGCAACAACGTCATCATGTATGAGTGGACCTAGTGCGGTTGGCAAAAAAAGAGGAAGCAACCATAGCATAGAGTTGCATCATTCACTTTATGCCTTTTGAAAAAACTTTGTCAGTGCTAATCTAACTGTACCTTGACTGAGGCTACTAATGGGACCAGAATAAATCCAACACATAGTAATGTTATCAGAAGTCTAGCATGTTTCAGTGTTGACCTACGCATTGTTTTTGTGGGAAATCACCACTTTATAGACACTTTTAGAAACTAGAAAAACTTGGGCAACTGCCACAATCTCCCACAAACTCACTGCAAGATGTTTTACTCTGTAGAGGTGGCTGTAGTGATGGTGGCGGTGATAGAGCAGGATTAATTGCAGGGTTGATGGCTTGATATTCCCACATTAATACTCCCCAAAGAGGATCCCCTTTCATTTTGGAGTATAAATAAAATATAAATCTCAAGTCACAGTGCCTGATAGTGAATAATTTCTGGAAAGAACAAGAAATGAGTCATTGTGTTGCACAAAGAGTCTCTACTTTGTTTTTTAAATGAACCAAGCACTTTCAGTTCTCTGTTTAGTGCCAAAAATAGCAACATAAGTTGATACATGAGACGTGATTTCTTCACACTACTCTGTATTTTATTTTGTAGTCTCAAGTGTTCTTTGTTGTTTTGCAGCTCAGTTGTTGTGATCAGGACCAGTTGTTTAATGCTCTTTAACATCTCTTTGCTACAGGATAGACTCCAGCCATGAGCTATGAAGACCAGTTTCTGCTCTTTGAGGGCCTGTTCGATGACAATGACACAACCGACCCGAGCTATGTGGTCAGCAAAACTGTTAAGATCTGTTCGAAGCAGAGTGTCAACAACTTTGGGGCAACATTCATCCCAGTTTTCTACTATGTCAACTTCATCTTGAGTTACCTTGGCAACGGGCTTGTCCTCTTCATCATCTACAAGTATGAAAAACTTAGCACAGTGACAAACATCTTCCTCCTGAATTTGGTCCTTTCCAACATTCTCTTTGCCACCAGTCTCCCCTTCTGGGCGACATACCATCAGTCAGAGTGGATTTTTGGCACATTTCTGTGTAAGATGGTCAGCAGCGCCTACTTTATTGGCTTCTACAGCTCCATTCTCTTCCTCACACTCATGACATTTGACCGATACCTCGCAGTGGTGCATGCAGTGGCAGCTGCCAAGAGCAGGAAAAAGGCATATGCCATTATTGCTTCAGTAGTGGTTTGGTGTATCAGTGTTGTAGCAAGCGTGAAAGAGCTGGTTCTCCAGAATGTGTGGAAGAATGCGTTCAGTGGACTCATGTGTGAGGAGTCAGGATTCCCTGAAAGCACAATGGAGCGCTGGCGTCTGGTCAGTTATTATCAACAATTCCTGCTGTTTTTCCTCCTTCCTCTCTTCATGGTAATGTACTGCTACGTCAGCATCACCGTCCGTATCCTGTCTACCCGCATGAAGGAGAAGTGCCGTGCCATCAAGCTCATATTTGTTATCATTCTCACTTTCTTCGCTTGCTGGACACCCTACAACATCGTCATCCTCCTTCAAGCTATACAGATTTCCAGCCACGGAGAGGATGATGACTGTAGTGAATCTGAGAGTTTGGACTATGCCTTGTATGTCACCCGCAACATAGCATTTCTGTATAGTTGTATCAGTCCTGTGTTTTATACATTTGTGGGAAAGAAGTTCCAGAGCCACTTCAGAAAGTTAGTGGCAAAGAAGATCCCCTGTCTGAAGAGACATATCAGCCTCAGTAGCCAGAGCACCAGAACCACATCACAGCGGACACCACACTCTGCTTATGAATACTAGGAACACACACACCAAATTAATGTCAAATGTCAGTGTAATGGTATGCATTTCCTGGGGACTAAGTGCTTAGTGTAACCTTATTAGTGTAACCCTTACAACTATTAATCCAACCCTAAACATTATCCTTTTGTTAGCCTATGCCAAACATTACTCTAACCTTATGTGTTCTCCTTTAAATTGAAATATTTACCTTATGGGCACTTGTTTATCCTCCCCATAAGAAAAACAAGTCCCATTAATTTGATTGTCTATAAAGATGTAGCTCCTCACAACATGAGTAATACCTTGACAACACACACACATACTCAGCAAGTAAAGCGAGCCATCATTGGTTTGATTCCTAGCTCCTCCAGTTTGCATAACAAAGTGTCCTTGAGCAGGATACTGACTCCCCTGATGACTGTTTCAGCAGATGTTTATAGAAAAAGTGGAACATATGGTAGCACTGTATGAATGTGAATGTGAATGTGAATGCATGACTGTGGCTTGTATTGTAAAGTGAGTAAATATCACTCTTAAATAAAAATTATTAAATTTTCTTTTATCATTAAATGTATTAGATAATTTTGTCAATGATTGCATATTGTTTATTCTATTCAAATGTACCTCTTTTTGAAAGGGTTACATGAGGAAGACTTGCTTTGTGACTTTTTATGCATATCTTTAATTGTACAAACCAGAGCTGCAGAATGCTTCTGCCTTTGATCACATTTTATGTAGATAAACTATGAATTTGATAATGTCAGCCCAAAATGTTTTACCACATGTGCAGAGCTGGTAATTCATTGAGAATGAAAAGGCAAACATATTTAGTTCATGTCAACAAATTCAATGAAAAGATCATAACCAACATTGTAGTCCTCTCAATAATTTTGAGTCCCATATCCAAACATTGGCTCTCAGTACGTACATGTTTTAAAACAGCTCAGACATTGTTGTAAACTTTAGAAAGGTTTGAACCAACAGTGTGTAGATTACAATGATAGAGATAATGCTGCTCATAGACATGTGAGTGAATGGATGAATTCACCTTGTACTGTATACTATATTCTAATACAGTCCATTGGCCATTTACCATTATTTAAACTCCTGCACCCTACAGTGCAGTACAGTGTGTTTAGCAGCACAGTGGAGGACAGACAGGATTTTGTGGGACAGCATTGTTTTTAAGTCTTTAAATTGTCCTTATGATGATTTCATGCATATGCTCCAAACGTGGTCTGGAGTTCCAGTCTTTTTGATTCAGTGTATACTTGTAGAGGTTTGATTTATTTGACTCATCTTGTACCATTGCTTTGAAATTAATTCTGTATTACCTTTCCAATAAATATCACAATCACACTGTTCCCCGGTGACACCTGTCATGGAAACTGTTTTGTTCTAATTCTCAACAGTTTTATTTTTTTCGTTACCAATGATTCAATCATTTCCTCTTTTCTGACAGAACATCTGGAGCAGTTTCCTGTCAGCTAAGTAGATTTCTCTGCTGATTCATTGCTTTAATTTCTGGGAAAACAACATTAAATACGTATATGGACAGTAAAATGATGAAACACTGGAGAGAATAAAGGGGAATTTAATTTCGAAATCCCTCTTATTTCTTCTTTTTTGAAACCTCAACATGACTACTGTAGGTTCCTTAACAATGAAGCCATGAGCTTGACGCTCTCACCCTCGTTATCCAACTCGAACTCAAAGGAAAAACTCCACAAATCCTCTCGTTAGTTTTCTTAATTTACTTCAAAATAAATAAATAAAGCAAGATACAACAGTCCAGCATGACGATACACAAAAATGAGCGAGAGAATGACAAATAAAAAGAGTGAACGAGTGAGGTCAAAACACTATATGGCTCCACTCCATGATGCCTGACGTGACTGCCCGCTCAGCTTAACCACGCACACAGATCAATCCGCATTAAAGGTGCTATAGGCAATTTTTAAACCTGCAAATATCCATACACATTTCAAGTCAAGTCAAATGAACTTATCAATATGAATGATCTAACTGTAAATAATGTAATGGCTAGATTTTTACCACAATCAACACAAATATATTTTAATACATGAACTTAAATTATTATTCAAACATTAATGAACTCAAATAGGACCTAGGCTCCTACAACTACTATAATGCCACATTGTTACAATGACGATAAAGATTTCTGATCATCCCTTCCTCAACCCCGTTTTCTGCTTACCCAAGTCAGCCAATGATTTTGGATAATTTCTCCCCTATTTCCTGGTGCCCTTATCAGGTCAGGTGCCTTTTCCTGGAAAATTGGCAAATAATAGTGGTAGTGAAATATTAATTTTGTCTATTTCACCCAGCCCCAATATGATTAAATTATCGATCATTTTGTGTGCTCATTTATATTTAAAATCACTTCTTTTACCATAAGAATTTGATCATATCTTTACTACAGCCATTTTAATTTAGAATTGATCTTCTCTCGTGCTGTAAACTTAACCAGTGCAATGAGTGGTGGGATAAAGTTTGCTACATCCATACAAAATACATGTATTTTATTATTTTGTCTATAGTTTTTATTAATCACAGCTTTTATTGTACTGTAAAGTGCTTTGAGTGGTCATCAAAAAAAGGTGCTATATAAATACAGACAATTTACCGAGGGCCGTAGTTTGGACACCCCTGATTTAAACGTAAAGTGTGTAGAATTTAGTGACATCTAGTGGTGAATTTGTTTGTTGCAGCTGAAAACCCACCTTACCCAACCCCTTCCAAACATGAAAGAGAACCTGTGATAGCCTTCAAACTCAAAAGGTGTTTAGTTTGTCCAGTCTGGACTAATGTAAAAAAACATGGCGGCCTTGGTAGAGAGGGTCCCCTCGATGTAAATATAAAGTATTTAAATATAAAGGGGGTAAAGAAAACTACAATTCATACAATTTAGATGAAGCTAACTGTGGAAACATCATGAGGATTATTCTAAAGTAAATATCTGCCAATAGATCTTTTTCACCTAAATCTTACACACTGGACCTTTAATAATTTTGTTAATGCCACTTTTAATGACTGGAAGTAAACGATGTAAGATTTCTTGTATGCAAACAAAAGGCTCAGTTCTCTCAAATTTGTTCAGACATTTTTAAAATCAGTGTAAGTCAGCAACTCACCTTACCCAAGATAATCTGTTCACCAGACAGGTGTGATACAACAAAATATGCTAATTTTAAAGCATAATCATTGATGTGCCTTGGACTGGTCACAACAAAAGACCTCTCTAAAATGTGCAGTTAATTTTGAAGAAAGGCCTGTATTAGGCACTGAACTACAGTTTCCAGTATTTGGTATGACCACCATTTGCCTGAAGCAGTGCAACACATTTCCATTTCCTTTGCATATGAGTTGATCAGGTTATTGATTGTGACCTGTGGAATATTGGTTATTCCAGGATGAGATCCTTGCTGTCTGCAATCTGCGAGCGAATCATTCACTCTCCAGTTCCTCATGCCACCTTTTTGATCGGACAATAAACACCCTTGAACTTTCCATTCTGACTCGTGCTGTGTTCTGTCTCTGTGCTGGGGTCTAAACACATCTTGAACATAACAGAAAATAATCTAAATTTAAATTAAGAAAGTGTAAGTGACGCAAAATTACCAGAGAAAATGTATCTACTGCAGTGACTTTTATATTGTGGTCAACACAAGTCTGTTCATAATACCGGTAACAATAAATGTCATTGTGAATAAACTGATATATGTTTTAGCAAACTGTTTCAAATTCAGTTAAGTTTTGGAATTTAATGTGAGGAGAGTCAGGGAATTGAACCTGTAGTAGCCGTTTGTCAAAACAAATAAAAGTTTCAAATCAAACCTTTAAATTACAAAAATCAAAGGGCCACTGTTGCACCATGGGTTGTGGTGTACGCGGATGGGAAAAACAAATGTCCAAACAAGTATCCAATTTCAGTAGAAAACCGTAGTTTATTTGACCAGAAAAGCGAGCAAACAATAACAAAGAAAATTCCTCCGTGCCTCTCCCGCTCCGGTAGAAACCATATGCCCACCCCGGTGCATGCTGGTCCAATACCATGATCCTAGATATAATCCTTAACGTGCACAAATGAAACAAAACACAAATAATAAACACCAAAAAACACCTAACCTAAACAAATAATAGAACAAAATACTAACAGAAATCTAATCACAATGAAATCAAATAAATTGCTTCAGAATAATCAAATCTAAATACTAACTAAACTAAATACTAAACTAACCAACACTAAATACTAACAATAAACAAATAGCTCCAACACTCCGGCCCCTAATTGTGCATTAAATCACAATTACTTTAATTTCTCAAAGGAGCTATTCCCTCAACCCTACCTATAACTAGACATGGCAAGTCATACATTAGCTTCAGTTCACTTTCTTCTTTGTGATGAACCTGCAACAACAATAAGAGAGAGGGAGGAAGTAAGAGAGAGAGAAAATAAGAGAGAAAGAGAGAAAATAAGAGCGAATAAGCTTCGTCACAGGCCTCTCCAAAATGCTGGTCCTGGTCCGAAGGCGCACAGAGCGCACCAGGCCCTTTGCGCCTGCTCTCACATCCAAGATTTTCCCCATCAGCCAAGATCCTCTTGGAGCTGCAGCATCTGCAATAAGGACGATGTCTCCAGGAATGAGACTTCTCCTTGGTCTCATTCATTTCTGTCTCTCTTGCATCATTGGTAGGTATTCATAAATCCATCTCTTCCAAAAGAGTTCTGCCATGTATTGTATTTGCTTCCATCTTTTCCTGATGTACAGATCACTGTGATCAAACAGTCCTGGTGGCCTTGTCCTTTAACATCAGAATGTGATTAGGTGTGAGCGCCTCCAGGTCATCTGGATCATCAGAGACCTTTGTGATGGGTCTGTCATTCAATATGGCCTCAGCCTCACAGAAAACAGTTTGGAGACCTTCATCATCCAGAATTTGCTGTGAACTGAAGATAGAACACTTTTCACTGAGTGAATCAGGCGCTCCCAAACACCACCATGATGGGAAGCTGCTGGTGTGTTAAAGTTCCATTTCATGCCATCCTGGACCAAAGCCGTTATCAGACCTGAGAGTGGAGACTGGGCCTCGTCTACAGATGAACTTCCGAACAGCATTTATACAGGAATCTGTATCAAGCGTATATGCCACCTCCAAATGCACAGCACGACTAGTGAGACAGGTGCAAAGCACTCCATACCTTTTTAGAAGACTTCTGCCTCTTTTAACATCGATGGGCCCTAAATAGTAAACTCCAACATTTGTAAAAGGGGCTTGTGGCATTCACAATCTTCTTTTGACCCATTGTTCTTAACAGAATACTTTTACCCCTCAAGTTCAGCTTTCTTGCCAAGTTCTCTGTACATAATGTTCCTGAACTCCCAGGATCCGAAAAAGCATATGTCTGCACAGTTTTGTTACTCCTCTGACTCTTGACTTTGACTGCAACAATAGAAAAAATAGAGGCATCTTTGTGACCGGCCCCAATATGGCCACAGCTCTGAAACACTGCAGGTAAAACATTTGAAGAGCTCACAGTCTGTTGATCAGAGGGTGTTCCTTTATCCTGCCTTTCTATATGAAGGACACTTGGGTGCTTTTGGTGACACACGTTGCAGTCCAAACAACTCCTGTAGTCTTTGCTTGTGTGGCCTACTTTCAGGCAACCAAAACAGAGTCCTTTTTCTTTGATCAAATTAATCTTGTCGCTGTGTACTTTCATTTTAAAGAGTGAACATTGATCCATTGAATGATTACTTTGTGAACAGAACAGACAGTTGAGAGTGGAGGGCTTGGTCCTGTTTCCTGTATGTTGAGTTATGACTCCTTCCTGTACTGCAGTGACATTGGTGGCAAAGCTACTTCCCTTTTTCCTTTGTTTGAAGTGACTGGCAGTGGAAGCTTTGGAGTTGGTAAGCTCTTGAATGTTGCCAAAAACTGTATCTGAAGCAATCTTGTCTTTCAATAAAACCAACAAGATCAGCGGACATTGCTCTGTTACCCCTTCGTTCTTCCAGATCACAAGCAACATTTCTCCATTTTTCCCTTAATTTAAAAGGATGTTTCAAAATGATGATCCCCATGTTAGATGGTAAATCCAATTCTTTCATGTGCATCAGCTGCTCTTTTAAATTTGAGCAGCCACGAAGAAACAACGAGAATGATTGAAACCCTTGAATGTCCTTGCTTTTAACAGGTGTCCAGTTAAGTATTTTTTCCATGTATGCAGCTGCAATTTTGTGTTCATTTCCGAACTGTTCAAGAAAATGTAAACAATCACTCCAATTGTCTGTTTTCTCCTCCTTTTCAAAAGCTCTGATGAAAGGCCTGTATTGAAGAG